GGCTGGCGAAGCTTTGGGCCGCTGGGTGGTGATGGGACGGCGGCGGACCGTAGTGTGCAGCCGGCGGACACCTTACACTGGCGCCCGCAACTTCCCCACAAGGTCACCGCTGCCGCCCCTCTGCGCTCTGCCGCCCCGAGGCCGGGCCTCGGTGGCCTTGTGGGAAATCCGGGTCTGGCTGTAACATTATATTGTACACGGCTACAAGGACATGGAGGGGGCTATTGGAGGGATCAGAATCGATATTTTGTCATTTTTTTAATGGAAATCATGAATTGTATCGTCTAAAAGCTGCCGGGGATAATACTCATGGTGGCCTCATGGTGACACATCGCTACCGCTAGTATAACCACTAAAGACGGGTCTTCGTATTACCTTCCCACTCGCAGCCAACAAGGCCTTACTGCATCGCCCATTGCTGTGGACTAACCATGCTTCAGGCACCGGCAGCTATAGAAGAATGTATATGGTATATACTGAGCTTAGTGTGACGGGAGGACGCTAGTTTGTGTCCTCCCGTTACCCTAAGGAGAACTATGGGGAAAAGCCCTGACCTCGCAGTTCTCCTTTAAAGCTTCACCATTACCCACAGACACCGGATGACCATCCCATATGTATAAGCTACACACAGACACTGCTGGTCAGTCATGCCATCTGCAAATGACAAGTGCTGGGAAAGTGATCGGCTCTGGTGGGTATAATGGTACTTCGACCCAGAAACCCAAACCTTGAGCAGATGGTGCCAACTAATTGGTCAAACATTGGCATAAAGGATAGCACTTCTGCCTTGCAGCACTGAGAGCCCCTGGTTCAAACCCTGGTCAAGATCATTATCTGCATGGAGTATGCATGTTCGCCCTGTGCTTGCATGGGTTTCCTCCCACACTCCAAAGAAATACTGGTAGGCAGGGCAGCCATCAGAAATTTTGGGGCCCCTTACACGGCTTTAGGCTGGACGCAGGGCTTAGTGACGCGCTGGACGCAGGGCTTAGTGACGCGCTGTACACAGCACCCACCTGAGAGTGACCCTGCAGAACCCACCATAGATGCTGCACAGCCCATCTGAGACTGTCTATGGTGGGCTCTGAACGGGTCTCAGGTGGGCTGGTCAGGGCTGCATGACGTCACATCACCAACGTGACATCACTTCCGGCCAGTCCGACATCAGACGAGCAGCGTCGCTGATGGGGCCCTAGCTTGTCTCGAAGCCGCTGGAGCGGCAATGCTGGGGCCCTGCGCTGCTAGGTGCCAGGCCTCCGCCTCCTCGCCCTTCACCGTCGGCCGATAGTCATGTAAGGGACCCGGGTGGGCCTCCCAGGCTGCCCGGGCCCCTTACATGAGTATCGGCCGTACCCCCCTGATGGCTGCCCTGCTGGTAGGTAAATTGGCCCCTGTATGTATGCATGTGAGATAGAGACCTTAGATTGTATGCTTCCTGAGGGCCGGGACTGGTGTGAATGAGCAGCTATATAAATTTCCTGGCTCATCCTCATGTCGGCACTATATGAAAGCATGCCGACATGAGGATGAGCCAGGAAAAGAAAATTACGGTAAGTATGAAAACAATTTTCTGTAATCTGTAATAAATAGATAAATGAAAGAGCATTCATAAAGGTTGCTTGGTGTCAAATGGGCCTCGATCTGGTGAATGTGTAATAGCGCCAGCTGATGAATGTGTCTTATCACCATTGTATGATAAATAAAGACAAAGTAATTATTTTCCAATGTATAAATATCCATAAATAGAACATTTCCTGGAACAGTATTTATAAATATAATGTGAGTACAGTGTTCGGTTAGGTGTGACTGCTGTTCCCTAAACAGTCCACTAGATGGCAGCATTGCAGCGTGCAGACAGGACGGGGCAGTGCAGAGATTGTACAGAGTCTGCAGTCTGTCTGGAGGGTCCGCTCTGCTCTCTTCTACCTTTCGGTGATTATATTACAATGTATCTATTATTACCCCGGTAGACATAACCAATAATTGTTACTGCCTCAGTCAGGGAGTCCCTTTCTGTATTCATTGTCTGCTGGTCACTTTAATACTGAGCCAAAACCAGACAAGGGAAGAGGCTGCACAGCATGTATTTATTTATGTATTACAGGTATTTATGTAGCGCCAACAACGTACGCAGCACATCACATCAAGGAGCTTACAATCTAAGATCCCTACTCCCTGTCAGGGGCGTAACTAGAAATCACAGGGCCCCATAGCAAAATTATGTACGGGGCCCCGTGATTTCTAGTTACACCCACCTGATAACCCAAACAGGCCACCTGAGAGTGACCCTGCAGAGCCCACCACAGACTCTCTATGGTGGGCTCTGCAGGGTCTCAGGTGGGCTGGTCAAACCCTTTTACCTGTCAGCCCCGATCCAATGCCCGCCTCCTCCTCGTCCACGGTCGCTGGCGGGCCCCGCCTCCTCCATCGCCGGGCCCCACCTCCTCCTTTGCAGCTGACGCCGGGGGCCAGCCTCCTCCTCCGCAGCTGCTGGCTGTCACTGATTCAGCAGCGGCTGTGAGGAGAAACGTGCCGCTGCACAGAACACTGACAGGTTGTCAGTGATCTGGACAGCAACATGTTCTTCCTCACAGCCGCCAGTGACAGCCAGCAGCCTGATATGCCATAGCGACCCAGACGGATGTCCTGGCCGGGCCCCCCTGTGCCCCGGGCCCCACAGCGGCCGCCTGGGTCGCTAGGGTGATTGTTTCGCCACTGGTCCCTATCTCACATGCATAAAGGCCAATTTAGACAGGGGCCAATTAACCTTCCAGCATGTCTTTGTGTGGGAAAAAAACTGGGGTACCCGGAGGAAACGCGCACAGCGCAGTGAGAACATGCAAACTCCATGCAAATAGTGACCTGGCCAGGATTTAAACCAGGGGCCCCCAGTGCTGCAAGGAAGAAGCGCTAACCACTAGGCCACTGTGCTGCCCCATGAGGGGCTCTCCTGAGGAACATTGCTTATGCTCCCCCACTGCAGTCCTGTACCCCCCACCCCTCCCCCCAGCCTCAGGTATGCCATAAGGTACCACTGAATGTATATTGGATGAGCTCAGCTGTGACCCCGCATGTAGAGTTTGATACCGCATTGAACTACTTCAGGTGAATACGTACTTGCTGATGTACTCGCCGGTCAGGACCTTGCCACAGGATTTGCACTTGAAGCAGCCGAGATGCCACTGCTTGTCCAGCGCTAGTAAGGCCTGGCCGTTCTTGATGTCCCTGCCGCAGCCGGCGCAGCCTGCAAACCAGAACAGAGAGACGTCACACCAAAGATTCTGCACAAAAACATTTCACCAGACGGTCACAGTGCAGAGCCGGGTACAGGGGGGAGACAACATCTAAATGGAGCCTAAAAATCCATCAAATCACAGGACTTCCCTAAACAATGCCTTCACTGCTGCCCTCTCTCCTTGTGCTGGGTGACTGGTCTTGTCTCTGCCCCCTCCTGTAATAAAGACCAGTCACTGCTGCTCTCTCCTTGTGTAGGGTGACTGGTCTTGTCTCCGCCCCCTCCTGTAATAAAGACCAGTCACTGCTGCTCTCTCCTTGTGTAGGGTGACTGGTCTTGTCTCCGCCCCCTCCTGTAATAAAGGCCGGTCACTGCTGCTCTCTCTCTCCTTGTGCAGGGTGACTGGTCTTGTCTCCGCCCCCTCCTGTAAAAAAGACTGCTCACTTCTGATCTCTCTCCTTGTGCAGGGTGACTGGTCTTGTCTCCGCCCCCCTCCTGTAGTTTTTAACAGGGAGCCTGTGGCAGAATTAGGTTTGGCAGCTCCCAGACATGAAAGGGAACTCAGGGAAAAATCTGACAATCCTATCTAGGTGTGACGTTCAGGCTTATTTGGGGCAGAGACTCAAAGCATTCATTCCAGAGACAGCCAGACAACGAATATTTTTGTACAAGCAAGTCTGCAGTTGCGGCTTACATGTGTTCCTGAAGATTGTTATTTCTTTATTACATTCCCTATCTGCAGTTCCCGGTAGTTCTGCGCTCTGTGCACTAGGTGGCGCACGCACACCGCTCAGCGTTGCACAGCGAGTACCTGTCTCCAGTAATTGGAGGTGCTGCGTGAGATGCTGGTGGATGGGGGGTGGGGAGGGGCGTGCAGGGCAATCTCACACGTCAATTACAGCAATACAGTCTGACAAGCTTGTTACTAATGTCCCAGCATTAGCGTGCGTGTAACGAGCAGCCCGGGGTGAAGAGGTGCGCTTGTCCACTTAGTTACGGAACGTTGTGATGGGACGCGGTGTACTCTGCGCAGCTAATACCAGAAATCTGCAGAATGTACAAATCTGAGGGAGAGGAGGAAAGAACACCACCAATGACGTCACAGTTGTCTGTTATAGATGGGGACTGGTGGGGAGAGTCCTTCACATCCTGGGGACTCCAGAAGATGCCACACATATAGATCCTGGCAGACCCGAGGGATGGTGGGAGCCCCTCATAATGGGCACAGCGGGTGTACAGACCCGGGAACTCAGCACAGGGATGGTGGGGGCCCCTCATAATGGACACAGCGGGTGTACAGACCCGGGAACTCAGCACAGGGATGGTGGGAGCCCCTCATAATGGGCACAGCGGGTGTACAGACCCGGGAACTCAGCACAGGGATGGTGGGAGCCCCTCATAATGGGCACAGCGGGTGTACAGACCCGGGAACTCAGCACAGGGATGGTGGGGGCCCCTCATAATGGGCACAGCGGGTGTACAGACCTGCCTATGCAGATGGTTCCTGTCTAGTTACTGGCCCAGATTGGGGATGAGCAAATATGAGAGCCCAGTTTTTTTTTTGGCAATGCAATAACATGTTTCAGGCTGATCGGCGGGTGATTACATTGTGTTGTGCAATGAAGTTGAAAACATGATTTTTTTTAAAAGAAAAAAGTAAACACTGGGATCTGTTGTAACAACACATTGCAACACATGTGCACAATGCCAACCGATGCGCACGTGCTGATGTGTATGGGAGAGATTTGGCGCCAGCAAACGTTCAGCAAAACAAAACCCGTTTTCCTCTGTATGGGAACATTCACCAACAAAAACATCATTTTCACCAAAATAAAGCCGGACGTATCACGCCGTCACCCTCCTGTGTTGTTGGGACGTCAGAGGGGAGATACTCCAAGAACGACCCCATACATTGTATCTTATTAGAGACAATCGCTGCGTATGAAGGAATGTCGCTACATTGTATCAGGACGTCATTCAGAGATTCAGATATCAGCCGCGATCCTCAATCATAACAAACATGAAACTTTCTCTGCGACAAAAACGTTCTAATGTTGTAGAAATAAATCTCTTTGTTTTTATTGAGGATCCCGGCTGATATCTGAGGGCCGGTGCACCCAATGCGACGCCGTACCGCGCGGCGATCGCGCTCGATTCCGGACGGTAAGCAGTCGTATGGGTGTGCACTGATCGCGCTGTAGGTGCAATTCATTTCCAGTGGCACCCCAGTCGCACCGGGCGGTTTCCCGACGCGATTCGGCCCGTCCTTCTGAACACGATCGCGGCTTAGAAAGGCCACGCGGCGTGTGGCAGAATAAAAGGTACAAGTATCAGTGCACGCCTGTACAACTCCTTACCGCGCGGCAATCCGCCCGGAATGGTGCACGATCGCCGCGCCGTACGGTGTCGCACAGGTGTGCACCGGCCCTGAATCTCCGTGAATGAAGTCCTGATACAATGTAGCGATCTTCCTTCATGAGCCGCGATTGTCGGCAAGTTCTAAATGTGATTTGTGATTGTTGCTATTAACACATTTCATACTCTATGGGAATTTAACATTCATTTCCTTCCGGAGCGCTGAGGATATAATATATTACTTGTGTGCTTCACCGGAGACAAAAATCTCTAAAATTCACCTAAAACCATCCTATGGAGTCTCCCCCTCCCCCCTGCCGGCTGACCCAATGGCAGTGCCACTTCCACAAGGGATGAGAAGCTGAATTTCAGCAATTCTGCCCTTCGGTCATCGGTGACACGACCCCCCTCCAGAGTCAGCAACATGCGCTGACCTCCAAGGCATTCTCCTTAAGGTGCTGTGACCCCCCCTCTGCTCTGCACCTTAGGCAGCTGCCTCGCTGACCTCTCCTATTTATATAGCTGTGGAGTCCAGGCTTGTATAAAACTCACACAGAGTACCCCCTAAAACAAATGTCTGACCCACAAAAATGTAACAAAAAATTAAAAAATAACTTTATTAAAAATGACATGACGCTGTACAACACCCCACAAATATAACCCAAAATGCAAACTCCCCCCCCCCCAAAAAAAAATCAATACACCAATCCCTATAGAATAATGTTATCCATCAGAGAACTCAAATAAAGCCCTGGATGGCAGTCTGATGACTGGGGGAGGGGAGACTGAGGAAATGCTTCCTCCTGCCTGCAGCAGACTGATCACTGGGGGAGGGGAGACTGAGGAAATGCTTCCTCCTGCCTGCAGCAGACTGATCACTAGGTGAAGGGGAGAGTAAGGAAATACTTCCTCCTGCCTGCAGCAGACTGATCACTGGGGGAGGGGAGACTGACGAAATGCTTCCTCCTGCCTGCAGCAGACTGATCGCTGGGGGAGGGGAGAGTAAGGAAATACTTCCTCCTGCCTGCAGCAGACTGATCACTGGGGGAGGGGAGACTGACGAAATGCTTTCTCCTGCCTGCAGCAGACTGATCACTTGGGGAGGGGAGAGTAAGGAAATACTTCCTCCTGCCTGCAGCAGACTGATCACTGGGGGAGGGGAGACTGACGAAATGCTTTCTCCTGCCTGCAGCTGACTGATCGCTGGGGGTGTGGACTGAGGAAATGCTTCCTCCTGCCTGCAGCAGACTGATGACATCATCCCAGCCTAGGCAAAGTCACTGACTGAAGCTCCAGGATGGCTTTCTAATGATAAGAGGCGGAGCTTCTCTGAACAATGATCCTGTTGCTGTATATTGGGACACGTCATGAATTCAATACTGTAACATTACTGACAGGTCCACTTTAATGACAATTTGCAATGAAGAAGACCACAAGCAGTCACTGAGGGATTTTGTTTTTAGACTGTGAAAGGTGTTTTGCTCAAACATAAGGAGAGCAGACAACACACAATTGTTATTCCCCCGGTGGGTACTGAATCCAGAACCGCAGCGCTGCAGGAAAACAAAGCTGGACTTTTCATTTGTACGGCACCAACAAGAATCGACGTTCAGTCCTTGGGATCGCTGGAAGAACCGGAGCCGGATTCAGATGAAATCTCCGCATGGAATGTAACATCGCAGAGTAACATGAGCATCACATGACCGGGTCAGGAGGGGCACATGACCCCAATACAGAGATGTATGATGCCTGCGATTCCTCATGTGTTAGGCGAGGGACTGATGGGGGAGGGGGGCAGAAATGGCAGCAATTCGGTTTTATTGCTGAGCGAGTTCACTTTGATCACTTTGTGTGAACGGAGAGGAAGACTCGGCTTCAGATTAACCCTTCTGCCTATCAAAAAGCTGAATTCCGGGAACAAAAACTTTCATTTAAATATATTCATCAATAACCACCGATGACAGATGGATCCCCGTTACTGATGTCCGGTCTTTTTATTATTATTGTTTTTATTATTAGTAGTCATTTTATATTTAATAACAAAAATAATGAGAGAGAAATAAATTCTGACAATATCAGATTCTTTTGTATGTATAAAGGAACACATTGGGGGGGGGTGGAGTCCCTCTGGATTGGCGCGGTGGCGGCTCAATGACCCCTGCAGACGCAGCGCGTGATTTAGAAGGCCCGTTAGCCTCACCCTGTTATCTCCGCAAACCACAGAGAGAACTTTT